CAGCACTCAGCATACCCCCCACCCCCACCCCACACATGCGCACTCACTTGTCCTACCTGTGTCCTTGGCCTTGGGCCCAGTTCTGGACGGTTCTGGATGGATTTTTGGTCAGAATGGGAGGGAGTCAGGCTTTCCTGGGCACATCTTCTAGGTTAGATCGTAGGATGTAAAGGCAGCAGGACATCAGGTTCACATAGTCCCCCAACTCCTGGGAACTTGGGAGGCCCAGGGAAGAAAGACTCCTTTAGGAAGGGGTGCCCCTGTGGGGCAGTGGTATAGGGGGAGGAGGGAGGCCTGTTTCCTCTGGGACATGCCATCACTTGCCCCAGGGGACCTGTCAACACCTGGACTGTGGACCAGGCTTGGAAAGATCCAAGTGTGGGGTCACAGGGGCAGGCAGGCAGTGAGATGCCTTAGAGAAGGCCCGGAAGAAAAACAGGAACTCGTTTGCATATAACAATGATTGCTTTCTTCTCTTTGGTTTTATACACACCTGGATTATAACTGATTTCAATTGGACATCGCCTTAAAAAATGACTCAATAGGAACACACACACACACACACACTCACACAAACACTGAGTCCAAGAAAAGAACTGAGGTGAAAACGAGGTCCCCCCCCCCCCAGTAATCTCAGGAATGAGAGGAATCTCACACAGCTCTTTTTTAAGCCAACAAATCCTTACTTTTGGAACTTCACTGTTCAGCTACTTATCTACCCACCACCCTTCCACCAGAGGGAGACCAGATCAGAATGTCAGTCAGCTGGACATCCAAGTATCCAAAGACCACCTGTCTTTCAGCACCGAGAGAAGCCCCTGTTCCTGCACGCTGACTGTGGCAGGGTGGGTGAGTGAGTGAGTGAGTGTGTGTGTGTGTGTGTGTGTGTGTGTGTGTGTGTGTGTGTGTGTGTGTATGTACTGGCTTTCAGGGTTCAGGAGGAGTCCATCAATGTCTAGATAAACAGTCCACTAAGTGCAACAGCAAATACTGACATACATGCCATTACAAACACTGAGGACGGACATTCCAAGAGTGCTTTATCACAGCCCTAGGATCATAGTTCAGGTCCTTTCTGTGTCCATAGCAACACACGCACACAGCCAGGGCTATTGTAGTGGGCAATACTGATCACAAGGATTTCCAGTCAAAACATATCACAGCTGGGTGCTGGTGGCGCATGCCTGTAATCCTAGCTAGTGAAAAAGCTAAGATCCAGGGGATCATGGTTCAAAGCCAGTCACTGTAGAAAAGTCTGCAAGACTATCTCCAAAATAAGCAGCAAAAAGCAGGGCTGAAGGGGTGGCTCAAGTGGAAGAGTTCCAGTCAAGCAAGTGTGAGGCCCAGAGTGAATAAACCAGTATCTTCCTCCTCTTGATTTTCTAACTCCCCAATGGTCAGCTTCCCTCAGCCCTGTCCATCCAGGCACCCCAAAATGTTCATCTACTTTCTACCCTTATTCCAAATCCCAACCAAGGTCCCCTGACCTTCCTTCTGTATGGCAGGTTTCCCTCCTCTGTGTCCCCATTAGCCATTAGCTCCTCTGCACCTTTACTGCTCACTGGCACAGCTACCCTTGGGTGCTCCCTCAGGTGTGGAAGGAGACCCTTTGGTGCGGTACCCCCTCCCCCCAGGCTGTGATTCAGAGCCCACCTCAGTGGGAGGTTTGTCCTCTCATTCCTCTGGGTACAGCTTTTTCTTTTTTTTTTTGGGTCCAGTCGTGGGGCCTGAACTCTGGGCCTGGGCACTGTCCCTCAGCTCTTCAGCTCAAGGCTAGCGCTCTACCACTTGAGCCACAGCGCCACTTCTGTGCTTTTTTCTTTTTTGCCTATGTGGTGCTGAGGAATCGAACCTAGGGCCTTAGGCATGCAAGGTAAGCGCTCTACCACTGAGCCACCTTCCCAGCCCCTGGGTACAGCTTTCCTAGGGATTGGGCAGGCAGAGGGCTGGACCTTTACCTGGGCAGCTGGTCAGTGCCCTGGATGAGGCTGGAAGAACCCCTGGCCACCATGGGTGCATCCTCATGCTGTGACATAATGGGGACCCCAAATGTGAGCCCTACCCTGTGCCCAGGCCCTGACTTCCTTTAACTCTGCTCCACCCCCCGTGGAGTTGCACCTTACCTTCAGCCACTGACACATAGAATTTTTTGCTCAAGCTCCACCCCCCTTCCATTAGCCTGCCCCTTTGCAGGGGTCTGTCCTTCTTTAGTCATTGAGATATGGTGTCTGGTCAAGCCCCGCCCTTTGCTCAAAGCATGACTCAGATGTCAAATTTGCCTTTTTTGACTATGAAATATGTCACAGGCATGAGGTACAATGTACCTTTGTCTCCTTACATGAAGCTGACACAATCTAGATAATTCTGGGACAAGTGAAGTGGGACATCCTGTGCCAAGGGGAGCCCACTAATGACTGGTGTGTGGTCTACTCCCATTTGTGTCTAGTGGCTGCTTGGAATGGTCTGGTAGCCTAGCTAATGGGCAATCCCACATGCCTCTCTCCAGGCCTGCAGTTCCAGTTGGATTAGGGAAGCTGCTTTATTGTCTAGTTGTACAGTACTTGCCCTCCTACTATTTATCACAAGCATTGTGCTAGGTGATATCTATGCCCAATCTTGTTCTCAAAAAAGACCTGGGAAGAGGACACAGTTGGTTTGTACTGGTTTCACTGGCCAAGAACCCTGAATCTGTGAACTGACCATTGTTCCCTGGGGACACAGCTAGGTCTCCCATCCACCTCAGGTCATGACATCTTTATTAACACACAACCTTGTTCATACTTTCCTGCTTAAAGATGCCTTATTTCCCATGATTCATGAACGCTGAATTCAAAGCTAAACAATGTAACTCCTGCCTCCAATGTGTTACTTTCTGTGGAACACACTCAGCCTTCTTGAACATAGACGACACCACTTCAACACTACAGGCTGGGTCATTAAAAAAAAAATCACCTCTCCAGCAAAACCACAAATACAAAAAAAAAAAAAAAAGCAACATTCAATAGATACCCTTTTCTCCCCAGACCCTGGTTTGTCATGAGAGGCAAGGCATCACCTTGTTCATCCTCAGCCCAGAACATATGCATTCTCCCCTGCTCTACAAAGCAAAATAGCCATCTGCTATATACATATATCACCCAGCCATGACAAGGAAGAACATTTTGACATCTGCTGCAATGTGAGGGACTTGAGAATGGGATACAGAAGGACACACACTGCAGGACCCACACACAGGTGCTCCCTAGGTGGTCAGATCCAGAGACTGGAAATAGGATTCCGTGGGGTAGGGGAGAGAGGGTGACAGAGACTGAGGGAGAAGGGGACTTGGTGTTGAATGGGAGCAGAGCTTCAGTGTGGGAGATGGGTGGTAGTGACTGTTTAATGCCTGCTGTCGAGCTGTGTTACATGTGGGGTTTATGTTGGCTGTACGCTACCAAATTAAAAACAAAAACTGACCAGAAGCCTAGCTTGAGTAGAATGTGGTGCTGGATGGGGGAGTATCATCACCCAGGATAGCTCCTGGGGCATTATGGGTGGGAGCAGCTGATGCTCTGCCGACCATCTGACAAAACTGTTTGTCCACAACGCCTTTCTGCCTTTTCCTTCATCCATCCAATTCCTACTCACTTCTTGGAGCTCAAATCTCATTGCTCTTGCCCTACCTCTGGGAAACTTCCCAAGGGCCCTGCATACTACCTGGCTTTAAAGATGTCTCTAAGAAAAAGTGCAGACTCATGCAGCCACCTGGATGCAGTGTCTTCTGAGTTCCACAATGAAAAAAAAAAAAAGCACTAAATCAAAAATCTGTGAGAAATAGGAAAGCGTGGTGGGCGGGGCCAGGGCAGGGGGTAATCAGCCTGTCTGAGATCACTTCTGAACTGACACATGATTCATATGTACACAAGGACACGCGCATATCTGACAGGGTAAAACATCACAGGGACAGGCCCTGCGGTAGAAATGAATTTGATGTATTCGTGGAGCAGGCAGGAAACCACCTCAATGACTCGGAGGAATTAGGAGAGCACAACAGGACTAGATTCCTATTTGGGGTCACCACAAAGCCACGAAGTACCACAAACTAAGGGCTTCGGACAAGAGACGTGTTCTCTCTCTCACACTCTTGGAGGCAGCAGGGCCGCTCATGCTGAAGCCTGAGGAAGATCTAGTCTAGTCTGCAGGAAATGCTTGCCGTGCTCGGGGCTTGTAGACACACGTCACTCCGTCTCTGCCCCCACAGCCCACGCGGCCCCGCCTCCTGCGCTTCCCCCCTCCCCCTCGGTATGCCAATCATCAGATCCAGTGCCCGCCCTAATCCAAGATGGTGTCTTCACTGCATCCGCAACCCGATTTCATCCGCAAAGACCCTTTGCCCAAACAAGGTCACACGCACAAGTTCTCGGGGATGGAAAATGGCCGTGGGGCCATTCAACCCTCTTACAGTAGAGTCTCAGACGAACAAAAATAACAAAAAAAAAATCTCTGCAACGTAAAAACATGAACAGTGCTCCCTGCAACACAAGAAACATTAACAGTGCTCCCCCCACCCGTCTCTCCTCCCGGCTCTCCAGATATTCCATTAATTCCCCCAAAGCAGGTGCCATAATCAAGGCCTGGCTGCACCACGACTCCTCCCATGCCCCCCCCCCCCCCGGGGCTCTGGGCCTCTGTCCAAGCTCCCGTTGGGTCTGAAAAGGCTGCGTTCTTGGCCCTACATCGCCTACCAGCTTCTGGGGCTCCTCCGGACGACTGCAGGGGGCGCCGTTCCCGCGGCCCAGAGAACTATCTGGGAGGCGACTGCAGCCGCAGCGCCCCCGCCGCGTGTGGGGCTCTGCGCCCCAACCTCCGCCAGGGCCGGAATGACGCACCCCTGAATCCCGGGGACGCCAATTCCCTGCCCGCGAAGACCCCCTGCTGCCTTTGAAAGGAGAAATGGTAATTAGACCCCCCCCCCGACCCCCACCCATTCTCTCAAGGAACCCCGCCACCCCGCCACTTACTTATTTATTTGCCCCTGGTTTGTTTTTGCATCTGCAATGCGCCACCAGAAAATCTGCACCCGCCCCAGCGCGGCTGTGGGTGGTGCCTTCCCTCCGGCCGCTGGCACCACTGGGCGCCGTCCGGAGGCGCGGCTCCTGCAGCAGGACTGGCCACGCCCCTTGCACAAAAAACCAGCCAATCAGAGTCCGTGAAGGCTCTGCCAGCAGTGGGCGGAGGAGGGGGCCGGGGGCGAGCAGCGATGACGGGGACTGGGGGCCCTCCCCTCCCCTCTCGCCCCCGCACCCCCCCAATGGGCAGCATCACGCATGCGCGGGCCGCGTTGCCGTGGTAACCGTCCTCACATTTCGAGTGTACCCGCAAGCCTCCTGTCGAGGCTCTCGCTGAGGCCTGGGCACGGAGAGGGAGGCCAGGCTGTACCCCTCTGCGAGACTGAGGGGCTTATCACCTTCCGCCTGCCCTGCCAGGGGCAACTTTATCTGGAAGCACTGTGGCTTTCAATCCCGATCCTGCGATAGGCAGGTGGGCATGGTTTGGTGCTCTGGGCGCCTGGGATGCAAAGCACGCCCCTCCCCCCCGCGCGCCCCCGCTCCCACTCCTGGTACCTCTTCCCCCCCCCTCCTACGCCTCCGCTCCCAGCGCATTTCCTCCCTTCCGCTGCGCCTCCCTCCTTCCCCCTGCCTGCGCTTCCGCTCCCCTAGCGCACCTCTTCCTTCCGCGCCTCCCCGGGAGCGCGCCTCCCCGGGAGCGCGCCTCCTCCTCTCACCGCTTCCTGGTCCTCCCCTGCCCCCTCCTCCCGCGGCTTCTCCCAGCGCGAGCCTCCCCTGCGCGCCTCCTCCCGCTCTCGCCTCCCCTGCGCGCGCCTCCGCCCCGCGCGCCTCCTTCCGCTCTCACCGCCCCTGCGTGCGCCTCCGCCCGCGCGCGCCTCCCGCGGGTCTCCGCGTCTACCTGCAAGTCATGGTTCCCACAGTTTTGAGGCCCGGTGGGAGCTCGGGTGGGTCAAGGCCCCTGGTTTCAGCTCGTGCTCCGTGCCTGTTTACCATGCCCACAGGGCTCCGCAGTGCCGGGAGGCCCGGGACCGAGGCTTTGCCTACCGGGTGGAGAGGAGGGCAGCTGGGCCCGGGGCGAGCGCGGGGACTCCTCTTCTGCTCCCGAACTCGCTGCGAGGTGCTTAGACCGCAGCGCAGCCGAGCCGGGCCCCTCGCGGTCGCTCGCGGTGCCCGGGGGGTGCAGCCGGGCTCTCAGCGCGGGCGCGCGCGCGGCTCACCGGGGACCACCGCACCCCACATCTGGAGGATGTGGTTCCGCCTCTGGCTGGGGGGTCCCCACCCCCGCCCCCCGGAGCTGGAGTCAGGCCCCGCGCAGGGGGAGGAAGACCCCGTCCTCCAGGTGGGGGAAGGACGCGAGCTTGAACCCGCGGCCGCGGCCGGCAGGGCTCCTGCGCGGAGCGCCTGGAAGGGATTATTTTTTCTGCGGCTCCGCGCCTTGCCGTCCCTCCTCCATGAATGAATGACGAAATCCAGCCACACGGAGAGGACGGCGCGGGGAGCCCCCTCCGCGCCCCTGCGCGTCCGCTCAGGCCGCCCCGGCCACAGGTGGTCGCCGGCTGGGGCGGGGCGGGGTCCTGCCGCGCCCAGCCTCGGCGTCAGATGCCGGCCCCGCGCTCGCCCCGCAGGGCTGAGGGCTAACGCGAGCCTCGGACCCCGGGAACCGCGGACAGGGACGCACGCACGTGTCCATCCCCGAGCCGGGCACCGAGGGAGGGCCGTGGGGACCACGCTCCTTGGTGGCCGCTGAACGTGGTCCTGAAGTCTGGTCACCAACGTGCACACAGGACAGGAAGACGTGTTTCCTGGAAAACCGGTTTTCACCCAGTCCCTGTGGCACCTGGCACCGGGGTCCTGTTCTGGACAGGCCTGGTGTTCACCAGGGCGGGCTTTGTCCTGCCTGTCATGACAACTGGAAATGCCCCTGTACCAAAGGGGACATGCAGCCATGTGTGTGGGGGGGAGGGTGGGAGGCAGAAGGGTCTTTTCTGGCTAATCCTGAGGGGGGGTGGGGCTGTGTGTCCATCACAGGCAAATTCCTGTCCATGGACAAGTCATCTGTCAATCAACTCATTTATAGACAGGGAAACTGAGGAGCAGGGCCTGAGAGTCTCCCTCTGCCTGGGTAGTGGTGATCCTGTCCGCAGACCGTCTGGCTTCTCCACTGCCCCCCCAACACCCGAGAACAAAAACAAAACTGCCTTTTGTGGCCATAAAGATTAAGATCTGACTTCCCATGTGTGCCCCCTGGGGCTTCTGGACCCCTTCTTCTAGGAGCATGGGGCTGAACAGTGACACCCTGACTTGGTCCCAAGAAGGAGGAGCTTTTTTGTACCATCTTCACAGGGGTTCTAAGTGAGGGTCACAAGCTTAGGATGCCTGAGCACAGGGCCTGGGTTCCTTCCCAGAGGGATTCTGGGGCCCAGGCAACAGGGAGACCTGGGCAGCCTGTAGGGGTGTCCTGCCCACAGGATAGTCAAGTACTGCCTGGTTTGAGGTTCAGAAATTCTCCCTGCCTCGTGGCCAGCACCTCCTCTGGGTCTCGGCCCCTTCCTGGCCCCCAGCTGTCCATGAAGGAGTCTGTGAGAGGAAGCTGCCGGATTGCTGTCAGCCATCTCTGTTGGGAGGTGGGTGTCTAGGCATGCGGCTAAGTGTGCTGAGCACATAAAGCATGTGACAAGGAGCCATGTGACAAGGATCCCATGTCTGCGTCTGAGCCCACAGAAATGGTGGGAAGGACAGCTGGGCCCTGTTTCTGTTGTAATTATCAGCACTGCAACAAGAGCTGATGACAAATCAGGTTATCAGCAATCTTACTCAGGTGGCTGGGGTGAAATGGCGGTGATGGCTCAGGGAAGTGACGGGGGCATGAAAGGCACCTCAGTGCAGAGCAGTGCAGTTCCCACCATGGCTGCCCTGCTGCCAGGCACGGTGTGCTGGGGTGGCTTGGTGGCAGGGGACAGGCTGACCACTGCCGCCTTCACCTACCCCATGGGGAAGGCCGTGACATCTGACCCAGGAGGAGACTGAAACATGACAACTAAGAACAGAGGGTCAGTTTGGAGAGAAGCTCCAACTGACCAGGGGAGGTGTAGTGCCAGCTCCTTGAGGGTATGGGGGGGGTGAGGTTGGAGGGGGAATGCAGGGTGAGCACCCCACCCTTGAGAACAAGGAGACTGGGTTGAGCATCCTTAGAGATGCAATCAATGGCTGCTAGGAGAGGTCCGAAGCTACTGCAGGGAGCAACCCTCAGCTCTTGTCCCAGGCCAAATCAGATCTTCTCCTTGCTCTCTTACAGACTTCCAGAATGTTCCCTACCTTTCTTTCTTTTCTTTCTTTCTTCCTTCCTTCCTTCCTTCCTTCCTTCCTTCCTTCCTTCCTTCCTTCCTTCCTTTCTTTCTTTCTTTCTTTCTATGCCAGACCTGGGGCTGGAACTCGGGGCCTGGGCACTGTCCTTGAGCTTTTGCTCAAGGCTAGCACTCTACCACTTGAATCACATCACCACTTCCAGTGTTTTCTGTTTATGTGGTGCTGAGGAATCCAACTCGGGGCTTCATGCATGCTAGGCAAACACTCTACCACTGAGCCACATTCCCAGTCCTGATGTATTTCCTTTTAATTTTTCTTTTTGTCAGTGTGTGTCTGGGAGCCTTGAACTCAGGGCTTGGGCACTGTCCCTGATCTCTTTTTGGTCAAGGCTAGTGCTCTATAACTCTGAGCCACAGCGCCACTTCCTGCATTTCTTTTTAAAAATTTATATGGCTAGGCACTGGTGGCTCACGCCTGTATCCTAGCTACTCAGGAGGCTGAGATCTGAGGATCGCGGTTCAAAGCCAGCCAGGATAGGAAAGTCAGTGAGCCTCTCTTTTATTTTGCTGGCCATGGGGCCTGAACTCTGGTCCTGGGCGCTGTCCCTCAGCTCTTCAGTTCAAGGCTAGCGCTCTACCACCTAAGCTGCAGCACCACTTCTGGCTTTTTCTGCTTATGTGGTGCCGAGGAATTGAATCCAGGGCCTCATGCATGCAAGGCAAACGTTCTACCACTGAGCCACTTTCCCAGCCCCTCAGTGAGACTCTTATCTCCAACAAACCACCAAGAAACCAGAAGTGGCGCTGTGGCTCAAATGGTAGAGCATTTGCTTTGAGCTGAAGAGCTGAGGGACAGTGCCCAGGCCGAGTTCAAGCCCCATGACGGACAAAAAAAAAAAGTCTTTTATTAAAGTAGCTGTATAAAGGGGTTCAATTCCAGGATCAGATTATATGTCCAATGTACCTTGATCAATGCCACAACTCCTATCATTCTCCCTGGTTTGGCTCCTTTGGTTTGGCTGGGACAAACCAAACAATTACCTTGCAGCAAGTGATCAGAGTATGACACACACATGCAGTGTCCATGAATAAAGTTTCACTGGCACACATAGCAATGGAGGCCCTTTCACTACTGAGGACATTCCCTCCGACACTTTGGAGGACCTTCTTGACAACCCTGGGCAAAGCAAGAGACTCAGGTACGCAAGACAAAGTGGAGGGCAGCTAGTAGACTCCAAGTTCACACAGTTACTAATTAGGATTGCACTTGTCTGGGATCGAGGCCCAGACCTGCTCATCAAGATCAGCTACAGCCGCAGCCACAGGACCTGCCAACAGAATGCTGGGTGCACGCGCTGTTGCATTCCAGGGAAGCTCAGGGACTCACAATCATGCACACACATGCATGCACATCTATGTATACAAAAACATGCACACAGGGCTGAGAATGTAGCTTAGTGGTAGAGTGCTTGCATAGCATGCATGAAGGGTTTGATTCCTCAGTACCACATTAACAAAAAAAGCCAGAGGTGGCGCTGTGGCTCAAGTGGTAGAGTGTTAGCCTTGAGCAAAAGAAGCTCAGGAACGGTGCCTAGGCCCTGAGTTCAAGCCACAGGACTGGCAAATAAAAAACAAAAACCGCAAAAATACACACACAAAAACATGCACACAGGGCTAGGAAGGTGGCTCATTGGTAGAGTGCTTGCCTTGCATACCTGAGGCCCTGGGTTTGATTCCTCAACACCACATAAGCAAAAAGAAAAAAAGCCGGAAGTGGCGCTGTGGCTCAAGTGATAGAGCGC